TAACCATCACCGTTTCTGTATATAAATTAAAACTCCAAAACCCTTTTTCGCTGGATCACAATCCACAACCAAACAAACAATAAACATTTCTCTTAAATATTCTACAAACAAAAAAAAGTTTCTTCCCTAAATCCTTCGCTAAGCTCTCGTAAATGATGGCTAAGAACGTTTTGGTAACCGGCGGTGCTGGATACATCGGTAGTCACACGGTGCTTCAACTGCTTACCGGCGGTTACTCCGCCGTAGTTGTCGATAATCTCGATAATTCCTCAGCCGTCTCTCTCCAGCGCGTGAAGAAACTCGCCGCTGAACACGGCGACCGTCTCTCCTTCCATCAGGTTCGCTTAATTTTTGCTTATGAAACGTGTTATTGAAGAATTTTGCGTTTTCCGAATTCTCTATTGCTTAAGTTGGAATAAATTCACGATTTTGACGAAATTGGGATTATGCTTTGACTTGTTAATCATCGAATTGACTGCGAATGGAGGCCGTTTCTCTTTTCTGATTTTTATTTGGGGACTAAATTCTCGGAATAAAATATCAATTTTTTCGAAGATTGTTCTGATTCCACAGTTCTGGCAAATGTTTTGGGTATTATTTGCCAATCTTTTTTGTTGGTCGTATCCAAAAAGAATATCAGAATTTAATATCAGCACCATGTGAAAGAGTAAAATAACATTATTATTATTTATCCCAATGTCTATTTCTGTATTTCACAATGTACAGTATGATGATCTGTCTGATATTGAGATGTCTTTAATCAGAATTTAGATGGTTTTGTTTACTTACTATCAGAAGCTATTGGAACAAGATTTCTTAAAACATAATTGTTTTGCTTTCTGATCACAGGTGGATCTCCGAGACAGGCCTGCTCTTGAGAAGATTTTCTCAGAAACAAAGTATGTTAGTTGAGAAAAAAACCTATCTTTTATCCTTTACACTTCATTATTAGCAATGATCAGAATAATTTTGGTTGTGCATATGATTGGGTGTTGCTTTATTGATGAACATGGCATTATGATTATTTTACAGGTTTGATGCAGTGATACACTTTGCTGGACTTAAAGCAGTGGGTGAGAGTGTAGAGAAGCCTTTGCTGTATTACAATAATAATGTTGTTGGGACTATTACGCTTTTAGAAGTTATGGCTCAATACAACTGCAAAAATGTATATATATTTATATCTTTCCTCATTTTTTTTCTTCTCCACATGTCTTTTGTCTTTGTGTTGATCTCATGATTAGTTACTTTTTACTACTCTGTTTCCAGCTTGTGTTTTCATCATCAGCCACTGTTTATGGCTCACCAAAAGAAGTTCCTTGCACAGAGGAGTCTTCAATTTCTGCATTGAACCCATATGGACGTACAAAGGTGGTTATTTAACAAAAATCCCACTTGAATTTTCTGGTTAATGAAGTGTATAAATGGTTTGTGAATCTGAAAGTATGGTTTGGTTCTTGTTGTAGCTATTCATTGAGGAGATCTGCCGTGATGTATACTGGTCTGACCCGGAATGGAAGATCATATTGCTTAGGTATTTCAATCCTGTTGGTGCACATCCTAGTGGTGAAATTGGTGAAGATCCTCGTGGTGTTCCAAACAATCTAATGCCTTTTGTGCAACAAGTCGCTGTTGGAAGGAGACCTCATCTCACTGTCTTTGGAAATGATTACAACACAAAAGATGGAACAGGGGTATGTATGAATATATGGCTTTATGTTATGATAAACAAGAAGAGTTTTTTTTTCTACATTTTGATCTCATTTTTGTCTTTGTTCGTTTGTTTGGTTTGTTCAGGTTCGAGATTACATTCATGTTATTGATTTAGCTGATGGACACATAGCCGCTCTGAGGAAGCTAGAAGATTGCAAGATTGGTATTGATCATAACAATCCTTTTGTTTCTTTGTGAAATCATTCTCAACTCTGACTATAGGTCTGTGTCTGTGTGTTATATTCAGGTTGTGAAGTGTACAATCTTGGAACTGGAAATGGAACATCTGTTCTTGAAATGGTTGATGCTTTCGAAAAAGCATCCGGGAAGGTAAAATAGCTGAGCCTTTTTGTGTTGTTGTGTTCTTGGTCATTTTCTGCTGTATAAATTATGCTAAAGATTGAAACTTTAAAACATTTCTTGATCAGAAAATTCCTCTGGTGATTGCTGGACGTCGTCAAGGAGATGCTGAAGTTGTCTACGCATCAACGGAAAGAGCAGAACGTGAATTGAATTGGAAGTAAGTTTCATTGTCTCCCACATAAAAAAAAGTATTTAACTTTGGCCAAAAGAAGTATTTCTTCAGAATTTGGGTTTTTGGACTAGAAAAAAGTTGGTAATATGCAAGAGAAATGTCGTAATGTGAGCTGTGACATGAATGCAGGGCTAAATACGGGATCGAAGAAATGTGCAGGGACTTGTGGAACTGGGCTAGCAATAATCCTTATGGATATGATTCCTGAAGTCTGAAGATTCATCACTGACTTACCTTTTTTTTTCTTTCTTTTTTATACTGTTTAATGTATTTGTCTACGTACGTAAATTATAAGTTCAGATTAACAAGACAGGATTATATAAGAGTCAGATTTTAGGAAAATGTTGGGGGAAGTTGTGTACTATTGTTATCATAATCCTTATGATTTTAAAATCAATCGATTTATATAATTCAGTCGGTGCAATTTTTTGTTTTTCCTGAGTTTTGATCCAAAAACCTTAGACAAAAAAGAAAGATTATTTGTATAAAGAGTTGTTCTTTGAACTTCAATCCAGGAAAGGGAAAGTCAAAAAGTAAACAATAGTATCAAATTTGTTACCAAACGCACAAAGCAATATCAAGTTTGTTACCAAACATGCAAAGCAAATGTTTAGATTCAAACGGCAAAAAGTTAAGGCTGAGACGATGTCGTTTTCAAGTGGATATCCTAGTTATAACGTTTCTTTCTGAAATTAAGTTGAGAGCGTCCCCACAGCTTTCTCTTCCTCCATTACTACTCCTTTTTATAAACATCACTGGTTTCAGTAATCAAACTCCAGATCTGAATCAACTTTCTCAAGGTTTGTCTCTAACTTCATTCTGTTTTCTTTTCTGATAGTTCGTCTCTGTGATTGATTTGATTATTAATTCGAAAATATCATTTCCTTAGATCGAACTTGCATTGGGGGTTTTTCTATTTATATCTTAGACATTACAAAATAGTTTACTTAAAAAGCGATTATTCAAATTTGAATAGTAGTGTTTAGCAATTTTCTGTAGAGTTGACAATCTAATTAATTATTACGATTAGGGTTTCTCATTCGATTTAAATTAAAGCTCAGCATCGCCTTCTTCAGGATTTTAGACTCAAATTGTACATCTAATTTCTTATCTCTAATTTTAAAGCATAACTACTACATTTTTAGCATCTGATCAACATTTTTTTTTTTTCAAATGTCTAAACAGAAGAAAAAGGAAGGAGTAATAATGATCTGCGAAAGAGATGATTTCAGCCTCACCGGACCATTACACTTGACAGCGATAGACTGGTTTGTATCTTCTCTTTGCTTATTTTGTGGTTTTGTTTTGTTGATTCTTAAATTGTTGTTGAGAGTTGGCTAATGTTTTGGCACATTTTGCTCAGTCTATAGCTAAGCCTACTTCAATTTGTGCACTTGTGTATACAAAACCGGAAAAATTGTACTTGTCTTCTTGATTCTGCAGGGCAAATGAACAACATCGGAGATCCGTAACTGCTTCACTGGTCCAAGGAATCTATGTAGCAGAACGTGACCGTCAGCTACAAAGAGACGGTCCCGAACTAGCTCTATCCCCAATATGGTCAGAGTTTTTCCATTTCCGCCTCATTCGCAAGCTCGTCGACGACGCTGACTTCTCCATATTCGGTGGTATCTACGAGTACAAACCTCCGCAGCAACACCCCTCCCAAGAACTGATCCCGCGTTATGTAATCGCGTTCAGAGGAACCGTTACAAAAGCGGACTCGATCTCCCGTGACATCGAGCTAGACCTACACATCATCAAAAACGGACTCCACACGACCACAAGGTTTGAGATAGCCATCCAAGCCGTGAGAAGCATTGTTAATTCCGTTGGCGCCACGAACGTTTGGCTTGCTGGTCATTCTCTCGGTGCTTCCATGGCTTTGCTAACCGGGAAAACCGTCGCTCGAACCGGAGTTTTCCCGGAGTGCTTCGCCTTCAATCCTCCGTTCTTGTCTCCTCCTATCGAACGAATCAAGGATAAGCGGATCAAACACGGCATTCGCATCGCCGGTTAGTAACTAAACAAAACCAAATTGAAATTCTTAAACCGAAATTTGTGAACCAAACCGAAATTCTTGCAGGAAGTGTGATCACAGCTGGACTTGCGCTAGCCAAAAAGGCCACTCAACAGCACAGCCAAAACCAAAACCGACTCGCGTTACCCGCACCGCCCGACCCGTTTACGGCGTTATCCGACTGGTTTCCGCGGCTGTATGTTAATCCAGGGGACCACTTGTGCTCGGAGTATCTCGGTTACTTCGAGCACCGTAACAAGATGGAGGAGCTCGGGGTCGGGTTTGTTGAGAGGTTAGCGACGCAGAACTCGTTGGGCGGTTTGCTGGTGGATATTGTTGGCGGAGGAATGAACACGGAAGGACCGGTGCATCTGATTCCGTCGTCGGTTTTAACCGTGAATTGGAGTCCGGCTAGGGATTTTAAAGAAGCTCATGGGATTCATCAATGGTGGAGAGAGGATCATCGATTCGAGACCAAAATCTACAAGTACAATCACTGATTAAATCGGGTAAACCGGTGGATTATGTACGTTAAATCGAAATTTGATCGTCCGAACCGGGAATTGGGGTTCTAATATCCGGTTTAGTCGGTTCAATGTGTCGCAGTCTTTATAAATAAAGTCTTCGTTCTTGTAAGCTGATTTGAGACGATGCCGTTTTAATCTCTGTAAAGCTTGCAAAAGCCACTACGCATTTTCCCGCTCTCTCTCTCACTTTCCCTCGTCAGAGAAAATGTCGATCAAAATTCTCGTTCTTGTTTTCTCTGCTCTGATAATCTCCGCGAGACCCGAATTGATCGCCGATCATCACTTATCTACAAGGATCTCTCCGTTTCCTTCTGAATCTTCCTCGAATTCGCCGTTTATTCCTCCATTGCCGCCGTTCACAGCCCAATCTCCGGCGATTGCGTCGACGTCTTTTACTCGTGTCCCTGCTTTGTTCGTGTTCGGAGATTCTTCTGTAGATTGTGGAACCAACAACTTTCTCGGGACCTTGGCGAGAGCAGATCGGCTTCCGTACGGTAGAGATTTCGACACGCATCAGCCGACGGGGAGATTTTGCAATGGGAGGATCCCCGTTGATTTTCTAGGTTAAACTTCTTCCCCAATTTTCTGGGTTTAACTTTAATCTTCGAGTTTGTGTTAATCTCAAGAATCATCTGCTCTTTACTTGATTCTTTGAAATGAAATTAGGCCTAAATGTTATTCGATTTGACTTTATCCTATCTAGTGCGTTGAAATTGCTGAGAAAGCTTAGAGAAACCAAGAATTACAGAATTTTTTCTCATGGATTCTCGTATTTGTTGATGTTCTTCTCTACTGTTAAAGAACGAAATAGAGATTGAAGCGTTGGTTTTTTGACAATCGCACATTTCTGTGAACAGCTAATCGTCTAGGCCTCCCATTCGTTCCTAGCTATCTTGGACAAAATGGGACTATTGACAAAATGTTTCAAGGCGTAAATTACGCATCAGCCGGCGCCGGAATCATCTTGTCCAGTGGTTCTGAATTGGTAAAGACTCAAAAATCTCAAAGTTTCAGACTCTTTTTGACTTCGTTTTTTCGAATCCTGAGGGAAATTGATTGTTGCAGGGCCAGAGGGTTTCATTCGCAATGCAGATTGAGCAGTTTGTTGATACATTCCAGCAGATGATACTGAGCATTGGAGAGAAAGCTTCAAATCGTCTCGTCTCAAACTCGGTTTTCTACATATCGATTGGAGTGAATGACTACATACATTTCTACATCAGAAACATGTCCAATGTGCAGAATCTCTATTCTCCTTGGCTTTTCAATCAGTTCTTGGCTTCCAATATGAGACAGGAGCTCAAGGTTAGACTTGATTTCACGTTTTATATATCTGCTCTTGGTTGAGAATCTTTGGGAGGACTAATAAGTAAAATTATGAGTTGGGATAGTTTCAACGTCTCTGTATACAAATGAGCCCTTAATCTGACTGTTACACAAAACGTTAAGTATGATTCTGAGTTAAGATAGTTATCTTTCTATTTTTAGAACCCTGAATAGTAGCTGAAAGCTCTTAAAGCTGCATACTTGATCACTGACTCTGCTGTTTTGTCTCACAGACATTGTACAATGTCAAAGTAAGGAAGATGGTGGTGATGGGGTTGCCACCGATTGGCTGTGCACCGTACTACCTGTGGAAGTACAAGAGCCAGAACGGAGAATGTGCAGAAGAAGTAAACAGCATGATCATGGAGTCCAACTTCGTCATGAGATACACTGTGGACCAGCTCAACCACGAGCTTCCAAACGCATCCATTATCTACTGTGACGTGTTCCAAAGCGCAATGGACATCCTCAAAAACCACCAACTCTACGGTAAGCAACTGGAAACCACTTCCATCTCAATCCTCAGTTCATAAAAAGACTCTGTTTGTTAACAACATAGCATTCTCTTGGGAACTCCTCAGATAGACTGAGACTCCTCTAAGAGTGTCCATAGGCTGTATATAGAGTTTTCTGATGATCAATTGGAACTCTCGCATAGAGAGAAAGACTTTCTCAGAGTCTTGCTAAATCTTTGTTTTGTGTGTTTTGTGGTGTGGCCAGGTTTTGATGAGCCGACGGAGGCATGTTGTGGGCTAGGGAGGTACAAGGGATGGCTTCCGTGCATTTCGCCGGAGATGGCTTGCTCCGACGCCACTGGACATCTCTGGTGGGACCAGTTTCATCCGACAGACGCTGTTAACGCCATCCTCGCCGACAATATATGGAATGGTCGCCACGTGGACATGTGTTACCCAACTAACCTAGAGACGATGCTTCATGCTTAAATCAGCTGAGAGGACATAAATGCACATAAAAAACATGCTGTAAATGAGAGCTTTGACATTATTGCTTTTAGCCCATAGTATATGAACATCATTTAGGAGTAAAGAAATATTTTGTGGTCTTTTTACTTAAATAAGAAAAGTACGGGGTCGAAAAGAAAACAATTATGGGAGTTTTAAACCAGGAGGGAAACTAGGGGGGTAAAGAAGCAATAACAAAAAAGGAAGATCTCGAATTCAAGTTTTACAACGTTGGGCTCAATTTATTGGAAAGTTAGCGTAAGTGGCCCACATGAAACAGAAAGTCATATTATTCGACCCAAAAAGGTGAACAAACAAAGCACGTGTGGTCCATCTCTCGTTTCATAAACGGAAAATTTTAATCTTCAGACGTAATTTCTTTTCTCTCCTCCTCAAGTAAAAGAGCCTGGGCTTGGGGCTAGGAGGTGACGTCATCTCCACCCTCTCCCTGAATTTTCACACTCGTTTTTCCCGTTTTGTCCCTCGGTGAGAGAAACTTCCTATTTCCGCTGCTTCGCCTTTTTTCAATTTCATCCAGGGTTTCTGAGATTTTCCCCACAGCTTTTTGATCCAAGGTTGGTGGATGTTTGGGTTTACAGAAATTTCACTCGATTTTTTCATTACGGTTCTTTCTCGTTTGAGGAAATCGATTACAATCTTTGATCACTTTTTGTTTTTGTTTTCCCCTTCGTTGTTGTCAGGCAGATTGTGTTAGAAAATGGAGCTCGATTTTGACGCAAACAACTTGCTTGAAGATGAAGCTGCTGAAGTTGAAAATAATGTTAGTGTAAACTTCGACTTTTCTGGGCTTAGTTTCGTCGCTTTTGGTTGTACTAATTATGGGTCTAACTTTTCCCTTTTCATCCTCGAGCTCAAATTTGCATTTTCCGGTGAAAAAGTTTCTCCTGCAAAAAGTTGTATATGTAGCTTCAGAGTTAGATTAATGAACAGAAACCGCTGCATCAAGCATTTTTAATTCGTGTCACGTTTTCTAGGAACCCCTTTGTATTTTTCTTGTCCTCAATGATGAGACTTTAACAAACTGTGTTTGTGCCTAATTAGTTCTCATTTTAATTTTAATTTCTAGGAGCTTTCTCTATGTGAGTTTATGACAAAACTATGTCAGTACATTGATTCTCATTGTGATTTTAATTTCTTTTAACAGGATGTGGATGGAATTGAAGGGGAAAGATGTGGAATTTGCATGGATATAATTATTGATAGAGGCCTTCTTGACTGTTGCCAGCACTGGTAATTGCTTGTTTTTCTTTTTGCCCTATCTTTTCCTAATCTGCAAAAGCTGTATAGTCCTTAGAGTTACTTCAGTTCTTTGAAGACCACTTGTTGCAATGTTTGATGCACTGTTTGTTATTGTTAAAGGAGTAGACTGATAATTGGTGTCTATGTCTTATGAATACCAGGTTCTGCTTTGAATGCATTGATAACTGGTCTACGATTATGAACTTGTGCCCTCTTTGCCAGGGAGAGTTTCAGTTGATTACATGTGTCCCTGTAAGAAACCTCATATCTGTTTCTCTTATCTGAACATTTCTCACCATTTTTTGTAACTGGAGCTCTTGGATTAGGTACTGAGTTTTTTTGGTTTTGATTGTGAAGGTGAATGATTCAGGTGAAAGCAGCAAGGTTGATGAGGCTTCGTTATCAGGGTACTGTATTCTTGGTTTTTTCTTCCTTGCGTCTGTTGCTGTGATGAACTTGACTTGCTTGAACAATCTAAGTTGTGTCTTTGTCTTTATCTATGGACTATGAGCGTGAATTAGTTGATACTAATGTCATAGGATGTTCAATTTATTGAATAGTTAACTTAAAATAGTCATATGTACCTTAGATTACTGTATGTGATAAAAAATAATGTTGTTGTGATCTGCTGACGTTAAGCTAAACTACCAAATACATGCAGAGATGAAGATTGGTCCATTGAGGAGGAGACTGATGCCGTCTCTTCTCCGTCACACTATATTGACGAAAATGTAAGCATTATCATATATGCTTTAGAACGAGACGGACCTTTGTAAGTTACTACAAAGTACGCTAAGCTTTCCTAATCATTTTGTAGGAAGTTGTCTGTTTAGAAGGAGACCTTTGTAAGATCCGTAACAGCTTCAATTACATTGGAGGGGATTCCAACCTCGATACATCAATTGCTTGTGATTCTTGTGACACATGGTATTTTTTCGTATGTTTAAAGTCCTGTTGGTTGTTTTACCTCCTTAGATGGATCACTGAAGTTTATCGACTGGTGAACTTCTGGTGCTATTTAAGTTGTTACAGTGCCATAATGTTTGTGTCTGTTATGCTTTTAGATGAAGATTGTTGTGTTTATAGCTTAGTTCTTCTACGGTTTCTAAATGCAATCACTATCGTAAGAAGGAAGTTTACAATATGACATGTAAACGACAAAGATACTGGTCTTTTAATCTTACACGTGCATATTCTTGCCTTTGTTCGAGATTGTTCATCTTTAGAACATTCTTATACGTTCTTTTCTTTTTGCGCATAAACCTTTTTTCTTCTAATTGTTACTTTCCTCTCTGGGCTTACAGGTATCATGCTATTTGTGTGGGTTTTGATCTGGAAATCGCATCAGAGGATACATGGGAATGTCCAAGGTAGGTTCCATTCACATATTGACTACAGATGATTGCTTAATCACATGATTTGATATATTTACCAGCGTCGCTTTCATTTTATCGTCTCTGTTAATAACTTATTAGGTAGACACATTTTTATGGGAGAGTTTCCACTGTATTGCAATCTTTTACTGTGTGCCAGTCTTATGTTTTACTAGAAAAGATACACTACCAAATCTGAGTGAAATCTGATACTTAGCTATATTATTCCCCGTTTCTTTATGTTTTCCGCTACCGTGTCACAGTGTATCTTCCTTTGCTTTGTGTCCGCAGATGTCTCTCTAGTGAAAAACCACTTGAATCTGATGCTTCACCAATGGAGACAAGACAGTCCTCGGATATTGCTGAGAGGACAAATAGCGGATGCTCAGCCGAGGCTGTTTACTCTGGAAACTTTTCAGTTTCAGTTGCCGATGATGGCGAGACAGCTCTTGTCGTATCAACAGTCAAAGGAGAGGAGTGGCTTATGAAACCAAGTGATACCACTGCATCGTCCGTTCAATCTACAATGGACCCTGATCGCTCGCATCTGGAAATATGTTCAAGGAAGGAAAATACGGTGCAGATCCCAGGAATATCGGAGCTCACGGAGTCCTTACCTCATGATACACCATCTGATTCAAAGCAGACCAGTTTTTCGGCCCACATGGAGAATATAGCAGGTATGTCGATTGAACAAGTGCTTAATTTGGTGGTAATACAATATCCTCCAGGACTTCGTTGCAATTTCTTCACACGTATAGTTTCTCAATCTGCTTTGTCCCTTGTTGGTGCTGGGTGATAATTTAGCCTTTTATGCAACTGTAGACCCCGTTACAGGACTTGGAGAGAAGGACTGTGTACCAGTAAATGTTAAAAAATGTAAGAAACATACTGTCCTTTCTTCTTTTGTTTATCTTCTGTTTTCTTTCATTTCTTTCTTTTTATGGCTAAATTCAATTGGATCACTATCTGCATCTGCATAGTTTAACATGGTCTTATATGCTTCAATGTGCTTACCAGCTCTTTCCAGTACAGCCATTTCCAATTCAGATGTTCTTAGTGTTGTCAGCTTAAAGAGAAAGCATTCAGATTGCAGGTTAGTTCAACACTTGAATTCTTTTCAGTTTCTTGGTACCATCATTCCCTCTTTACTCAGTTTTGTATCAAATGGTTAAGTGTGTGTTATTTCCTTACCAGTGGTAATGATGACAATTTGGAAGTTAAGGCCGCGAGTGCAGAACCTCTCATTGAACCAAAACTTGAGGAAATGGAAGAAATAGCTACCATGCACCAAGAGAGCAGATCCCCTCCAAAGAAAACAACTGTTGATATACTCAGCATTCTCAATGCAACTGGGCGTAAAAAGAAGCTGATGCGCCCAAAAACTACTGATAAGTCTTCAGAAGGAGACAATGCTGTTGGTTTGAGGGTAAAGAAAATTAAGAGGACACCGGCAGATGATAAAGAGTCATTGGTTCTGGTTGAGAAACTAAAGAAAGAAATAAGAGAGGCCGTTCGTAACAAATCGATGGAAGACATTACAAAGAAACAATTCGATCCAAAACTCTTGGCCGCCTTCAGAGCTGCTGTGGCAGGACCTAAAACTGATGAAGCACCTAGAAAAATTCCGGCTCTGGCAGTGAAGGCAAAGAAGTTGATGCTGCAGAAAGGAAAAGTCCGAGAGAATCTGACAAAGAAAATTTATGCAGATTTAAATGGGAAGCGGAAAAGTGAATGGCACCGGGACTGTGAAGTTGAGTTTTGGAAGCATCGGTGCACACAAACTAGAAAGCCTGAGAAAATTGAGACTCTAAAGTCTGTTCTTAGTCTCTTGAAGAAAAAACCAACTGACGCTGAGACAAACGTTTCGTCTGATACCACACAGGCTGCAAATCCTATTCTCTCAAGATTGTATTTGGCAGATACCTCCGTATTCCCGAGAAATAATGATATCAAGCCTCTTTTGACAATCGGTGAAACGGGGACTTCTCAAAACAATGCACAAACCACAGAAGTGGACAAGACCTTACCAAAGATCAGTGATGTCAAGGGAGGCATCTCAAAAGCTGCCGGGTCGAAAATAAACTCTGGTAACAAACAGTCCATATTTGAGAATTCAGATGAGCTGAAGAAAGATAAAAGGAAATGGGCATTGCAAGTTCTTGCAAGAAAGAAAGCTTTAGCAGGCAACAACTCAAGCGAAGACAAAGAAGGCTGTCCTGAGCTCAAAGGGAATTATCCATTGTTGGTGTGTGATTCTCGTCCCTTGCGTTGTGTCGCTTTTAACATTTCTGTTGTTTTGAGATTGTTGCTTATTTGGTTCTCTGATTGCTATCAGGCTCAACTTCCAGCTGATATGAGACCAAACCTTGCAACCAGTCGCCATAATAAAGTTCCTGTTACAGTTAGGCAGGTACGTGGATAGCTCTTCACTTAAATATCCAGATCCTCGTGGTATTGTCAGTCCTATGCTCATAATATGTTACTGGGGGGTTCCAGACACTGAAGTAGAGGTCACTCTTTTGATATCCTTGTAAGTTCTAGGTTTAATGTTAGAATAAGCTGAGCGATTAGTACATGTTTCAATTAGTAGAGATACACACATGTGACGGAGTGCCTTGCAAATATTAGGAAGTCATTTTATATTCTGTTTGGGAACTCTGTGAGAGATCTGCTCTAATGTTTTATAAGGTCCTAATTCGAAGATCAAATTCATTTTTTTGGGAAATAAACACAAGATTTCATTTCATGCTTTTCTATTAGCCTCATCCGTTGGGAGAATTCTGGCTAGTCTGTTATTGAATTGCATGCGAAAGCTATGCTTACATCTCAACTCGTGGAATAGCTAGCTTTATTATTATTTCTACATGTGGTTGTTTTTGTTCATAAGCCAATCACTCTTGCTGCAGGCACAATTGTATCGCTTGACAGAACACTTCTTGAAGAGTGAAAATCTTCTGGAAATTCGAAGAAGTGCAGCGACAGAACTAGCTGTTGCTGATGCTATAAATATAGAGAAAGCGATCGCTGACAAATCAAGTAGCAAAGTTGTGTATCTGAATCTATGCTCACAAGAGATACTGCACCATTCACAGAGAAAAGCAATGGAAAATAATGCTGGAGAGCCAAATTCTTCATCACTATTGGCTAATAACGGAACTGAAGGTATTAGCGAGAAAGATTCAGATGATGCAGCCATCCTTCAAGCGCTCAGAGCAGCAGGTCTTGCTGATTCACCACCAAACAGCCCGACCCATTCAACGGAAGTTCCTCCAGATAAAGGAGACGGTTCCTTGGACAAAGCCAGGGACGTAGGCTCAGCTAATGTACTCGACATAGAAACCGTTCCTGACACAGACATCTTTGGGGACTTTGAGTATGAGTTGGACGACGAAGACTATCTTGGTGCTACGGTGGCTGCAAAAGCTTCAGAAACGCAGCCGGATGCAGGTTTGAGTAAGGTGAAGGTAGTTTTCTCCACTGTTCAACCTGAAAAGGTTATAAATCAGTCTGAAGTTTTGGGGAATGAAGAAGCAACTGCAAACCAGAAAGAGATCACAAATGGTGAAGAAGACGGGAAGTGCTGTGCTCCTATGGAACCTGTACCCGAAGCTGAGGGCGAGGGAGAAGGAGAAGGAGAAGGAGAGGGAGGTGAGATCCTTTCTCTAGCTGAATGTGAAGAACTGTATGGACCTGGTACCGAGAATCTGGTTGAAAAGCCTCTCGTTGAAGGATCTGCCGAGAATGGTCTTCAAGCTAAAGCACCTGACTCAGAGTGCGAGAGCAACACGCAGAGAGAGTTCATCGCTTCAAATTTTGAGCACACTTCCGTTCAAGAGAAAAAGCTTCCCAAAAAGATTCAGAAGAGTAATCCTCCAAGCGAGAAGCCATCTAAAGAAGAGAAAACAAAACCTGATGGGATCAGTAACTCTATCATCAAGAAGGTAAAAAAAAAACTGTTACGTTCCTTTTTGTAAAACATTCCCCATTTCCTTGTGTTGATATTTTTACACCGTTTTGTATCAGGTTGAAGCATATATCAAAGAACATATCAGACCACTGTGCAAGAGCGGAGTGATAAACGTGGAACAATACAGATGGGCAGTGACTAAAACGACAGAGAAAGTGATGAAGTATCATAGCAAAGCCAAGAGTGCTAATTTCTTGATCAAAGAAGGCGACAAGATCAAGAAGCTCGCCGAGCAATATGTTGAAACTGCTGCTTCTTCTTCCTCCGGAGCTCACCACCACAAGGACAAGTCAAGCAAGTGACCATAACATATGCGTAAATAAGATGAGGAGGAAGGAAGGAAGGAAGGAAGGAAGGAACAAGTAGTTCAGTATAAAAAAAAACAAACGTAAATAGATTTAAATCATCTATCTTTTGTTCTTCTCCACGAGTTTTGAAGATTCTTGTCTTCTCTCAGGCCATTGCATAAGAAAAGCAATACTTGTTGACGAGATCTTGGAAACTAAAGTATTTAAAAGATGAGAAAATATATTTATTACGTTAAAGACTCTTCCTAGTTTTGGTGATTAAAATGAACCAGTAAGTTAAAATTGCCGATGAAAATAAATACTCGAAAGTGAAAGATGATATTGGGAAGAAGAAATTTCGTTTTTCACAACAAAGTGAAGTTAGGAGATTGGAAAGCATAAAAGTCCTGAAAATTCTTCTTGGGCTTTGAACAAAAACAAAGCCTCTTGGGCCAACCGGACTCGCTATTTGTTGGGACGTGGATGTCTATAAAATTATAACGTATTTTGTAATAACTCTTAAGTAGTTAAGTGTGGAGGACTGGAGGACACTGTAGTAATTACAAGAATCGTTATCGTCTTACGTTATAGACTCTTTACTAGGGTTTGACCCGTGCTGCACGGGGTGATAGTTTCTGAATTTGTATTTTTATTAAAAATGTTTATTTAAATATTTCGACATTTTATGCGAGAGATTTTTAACATTTGTTATTCGTTTATAGTATGGAAATTAGGCATTTTAATCCATTTAAAAAGAAATAAATTAAAGCATTGATCATAACCACATATTAAATATGATAGATTTAACCGAGATACATAAAACTCAAATAACTATAATATAATAAGATAGTTTAAAGAAAAAAAATTGAAAATAAAACATTATTCTTTAGAAAAATTATACATCATGTATTTCATAAGATAAAAAGTTTTAGCTGTGTGGACACGGATTAGAACTAATTTTTTTCTTTCTTTCAAAACTAAAACATGCTTTATTATAATTTCAAAACAATCCAACCAATCAGAAAATAATATGCAGAATCCAAATTGTCAAAACAGCAAAAATATAATTAATTTTGTATAGAAAGTTGAAACAGATAGAGTAATATTCAAAAGTTTAATCAAAATAAAATATTTATAAAAAGAATTTTTTATTCGATTTAATTATAGATTTTAATTAAAAAACCATATTAAATGAAAAAAAAATTACCTTTGGATACCTACTAAATGAGGTTATATACGAAACAATTTATATTATTTTGTTTTTAAAAATTCAAATCATAACATGTACAGAAAAAGTTTTAGATTTTTTTGATAGATTTTTTATATTGTGATTCAAATTATTTTATTAAATAAATTTAAACAAAGATGATAGAAGATGTATAATTTTAGAAATTATTATGAGAATTAAATTGAATCTCATATCTTCCTTATTTACTAATTTTCGTAGTTGCCAATTAAGGAAAGAGAATGATAAATTTAATTTCATTATTTGGTTGTAAGCATAATATGCAATGGCATATATTGTAATTTGTCTAGTAAAGCTTGTCTTAATTAGAAATTGCTCTAAGAGTGAACCTAGTGATGACACCTAAGCAATGACATTCTTGTTAATAACACATTAGATAAAGGTTATTTAGTTAGTGTTTTCTCTTTTAATATATTAGAGATTGACATCGTAATTACTCACTTTGGTAAACATAAATACATATTTACTATAAAGCCCTTGAAATTTATGCTTATTTTGATAATTAACCTATAAGGAAATCACTAGAATACCCTTGAAACTTAAGGCTAATTTCATTTCGTGATAAATAAACATTTGCGATGGTCAGTTACGGAGTTGGAGACCAGAAAAAGCTTGGCAAATCTCTCATTCTCCTCTCGCCGATTCTTTTTTTCTTTTCCCGAATTAAATTCTAGGGTTTCGGTAGAAGAAGTGAATCGCTTCGAAAAGCTCCACTAAACCCTAAGTCCGTCACTTTTTCAAGCTTCTTGTCAAGGTTTGTGTGTTCATTTTCACGAAGTTTTCATGTCTTATCAATCGAAATCGTCCTTTCTAACTTTCACTCCTTTTCGCCGCATAACCACCCTCTCTTGTTCTTCACAGTAATCGCAATCGTTTCCTCTCTGCTCCTCGTTCTCGATCCTTGACTCGGAAACATAAATCTGGATAAACCTATGCCGTCGACGTCGCTGACGAACGGTACTGTGAACGGAAACGCAGATTCCTCGCCTCTTGGTGGCGGAGGAGAGAGAGCGGATGTTGTGGCGATGCTCGCTGATGATAAACCCGGAGTGTCCATGATGGAGCAGTTGGTTCCGGAGATTACAACCCACGCGCTTAGCTACTTGGATTATCCCAGTCTTTGCCGCTTGTCCATGACGAATTCGCTGATGAGGAAGGCTGCTAACGACGATAATGCTTGGAAAGCCCTTTATCACAAGGTAATTCGAGTCATAAATCACTGTAAATCGCCATTTCTCCTCCTACTGTTTGTTTAGCTTGACTACTGGAATTCAGCAACTTTCTTTAAGTATCTCTGATTTTAGGTTTAGCTCTTCACATAATTTGGGTTTAAGATGTTTGGTATCAGTTTCAAACACATTTTTTGAGAATTTCGCCATGATTTATGGACAATTGAAAAATGTGGTTGTTATTCAAGAGTGAGTATCCATGGGTTGATTTGTAGCATATATATATCTGCTTGTAAATGAACTGTTTGGAGGAGTGCTTAATTGACCATTAGCATTTTCTGGATTCTTGAGTGTTGTTGTGAATGGTACTTTGTATGTGTTCTTTTGGTCAATGCTTGCTGATCTTTTTTGTCTTCCTTTTGTTCTCCTCATTTCTTCTAGGATTTTACGCTGGAACAAGATGGTATAAGACCTGTCAACGGGTGGAAAGAATACTATGCAACAACGAGAGCAATCATGAGTGTGAATACTGAATTCTTCACCATCATCAGAGATAGGTCGCTTCAAGAAATGGGTCGATTATGGCTGAACTCAGACTATGTGAAGTGCATCCATGCCTCTGGCGAATATTTCTCAGGGTACTCAACTCCACATTTCTCCCCCTTCCTCTTTCTTATGTTGAATGACTTAATATCATCTTTCTTTATATGCTGTAAGATGAGTCCTTTAGGTGTTCTCTGAGTTTGTGTATACTTGCCAAACGCATATTGGACAGTATAGTTATATATACTAAAAAATGCTGAAACAAATGATATACAGCTAATAGCTTACATGGTCAACACTGGTGACTCCGTAGTTTTGAGTCTACTCTACGCCATTACATTGTTATACTTAAGGGAGAGAGATCAACTTATGATTTGAGTCCTCAAATGTATTGCAGGTATAGGGAAGTGATGCAAAGCTGGGAACTGTGTTTCAACTGGGAAGAAGGGTATGACTTTCAGGTGCACAACGTACGCACGCGGATAGTAAGCGGCATGGCTTGGGTCACCATGAAAGCATACGTGAATGTGGACGTTGGTCCATTCCTCATCACCAATTTGTTTGAGTTCCACAATGGCAGGTGGCACTTGGTTCATCATCACAGCTCTGTCATGCTCAATGATGTCGTCAATCAACAAGTCCTTGCTCAGTGATGGCCTCACTTCTTTTCTTTCTTCTTTTGGTTTCCCTTTTTTCAAGGGTACAACAAAAGAATGAAAACTGCGTATTGGAGATTGGCGTATTAGATTATATAGTGTTATCATTTTATTTTAACGACATGGTACTGAATTGTTTTTCTCCTGAATGAATGGTTGGTCTAAATTTTTCCTAATTTCTATTGGATTTGTGGGATTTGGACCAAAATTCAAAAGTACTACAAGAATTTGTGAGTTTGCCTACGAAAAGAAAAAGAAAGCAATAATTGTGGGTACATGTGATAAATCTGCTTTTTCGGTTCAGATTGTGGTTACGCAATTTAAAACCGTACCGAAGGGTCTTTACATCGGTTAAGATAAGATATCGGTTGACGTAAGCAAACTTTTCACTTACCCAGAGAGACGTAATCCTAGTGGGTGCCACGTAATGAGATCACTTAAACGGCACCGTTTCAACCGGAAATGGAGTTATACTCCAAAAAACTTTCCGATTACCCGATTTGGTTAATCTCCGTTTTACAAACACCGACGAAACTCTCAGAGAATCCCCCAAAAAAACCCTAATGGAGGAAGAGATGAAGGAGAAGATCAAGAAGACGGTGCTAGAGATTCTGAATGAATCGGATATGGCAGAGATGACAGAGTTCCAGGTCCGTAAACTCGGTTCGGAGAGACTCGGCGTCGATCTCTCTGAGAAATCTCACAAGGCTTATGTGCGAAGCGTCGTGAATTCGTTCCTCGATGAACAGAAATTGAAAGAAGCTGAGCAACCGGAGAAGGATGAAGAAGTAGAAGCCGAAGCAGAAGAAGAAGATGGAGCTAAGGAGGGAGCTCGTAAAGGAAACAAAGAGTTCGACGATGCCGGAGATCTCATCATTTGCCGGGTACGGTTTCAAATTTATACACTGTTCTTTATCTCAGATTCGAATCCTCTGCTTCAATTTGTAATCCGATTTTACTGATTCGGTTTTTACTGATTTGGGATTTGTGGGGTTTTGTCAGCTTACGGATAAGAGAAGAGTGACGATT